AAATATTTTCCTAGTTGATAGTTGTATACACGCAGACTTTTATGTAAGCTAAGCATTATTTTGTTTTCGTATTCCTGTTTGCGAGGACTGCTTTTGGGTCTGTGGTCCAATCCAAATCCAACTTCTTCAACTTCTCTTTACAAGAATCGATTCTTCTTTTTCTCTTTTCTCTCTCTCTCTGAATGGCTGCAAATCAGAGAGAGTCAATGCTCGATCACGTCCCCCTCTTCGCCAAGGAGCTTCTCGCCGGTGGACTCGCCGGTGGATTTGCTAAAACCGCCGTTGCGCCTCTTGAACGCGTTAAAATTCTCTTCCAGGTTCTTCATTCCTTTTTTCCTCAATCCCCTTCGTTTACTATTCCAAACATTCTTCCTTTCCATGCTTTACTTCTACTCTAGTTCTTCTTTGCTTTTCATTTTCTACAGTTATGTGCTTGATTTCTGTTACATACCGTGAATCACAATCATTCTTTGCAGACCCGAAGAGCCGAGTTTCATAGCACGGGATTCTCTGGATCAGTTACCAGAATTGCCAAAACCGAAGGTCTTTTAGGTTTCTACCGGTACATAGAAATCTTAGTTTGTTCATTTATCTTCCTTCAATTATTCAGAATCACCAATATGATGTTATTTGCAGGGGAAATGGAGCAAGTGTGGCAAGGATTATTCCTTATGCAGCTCTTCATTTTATGTCATATGAGGAATATCGCAGACGCATTGTGCAGATTTTTCCTAATGTTTGGAAAGGTCCCACTCTTGACCTTATGGCAGGCTCACTCTCTGGAGGCACAGCTGTGATTTTTACTTATCCACTCGACTTAATTCGGACTAAGTTAGCTTATCAGGTTGTTAGTCCAACCAAGTTGAATGTTTCTGGGATTCTAAATAATGAACAAGTTTATAGAGGGATCCGTGATTGTCTTTCAAAAACTTATAAAGATGGTGGAATTAGAGGTCTCTATAGGGGAGTAGGTATGTGTTAAAATCTGCTTGTGTCTGAGATTGGTTATTTAGTATTGTATTTCACTGTTGTGTTGATATTGTAGAACTCTTATGTTAACTATGGCCACAGCTCCGACGCTCTTTGGAATATTCCCATACGCCGGTTTGAAATTCTACTTCTATGAAGAAATGAAGTGTCATGTCCCTGACGATTACAAGAAAGGCATCATGGCGAAACTCGCATGTGGATCCGTGGCTGGTTTATTGGGTCAGACCTTTACGTATCCTCTTGAAGTTGTCAGGAGGCAAATGCAGGTAGTTTACTTTACTTGGAGTGGAAGTCCATAAGTTATAGATGGATGTTGAGTAACACGATAGAGCTAACACTACCTGACTAGGTTCAAAAACACGCTGCATCAGATGAAGCTGAATTGAAGGGGACTATGAGATCGCTTGTTTTGATTGCTCAAAAGCAAGGCTGGAGGACACTGTTTTCAGGGCTGAGTATCAATTACATAAAGGTAGGAGGAATAATAGCACACTAGAGAAACTAACACTTTAAAACCATTCTATATGATTAAGCTTTTTTTTTTTTTTTTTTGTAATTCAGGTTGTTCCATCTGCAGCTATTGGGTTCACAGTTTATGATACTATGAAATTGTGGCTGAGAGTACCATCAAGAGATGGATCAGACTAACAAATAATCAGCCAACCATCCTAATAGTAGGAATAAGATGTTCTAACTCCTCACAGGCCTCAAACTGGCTTCTTATAATTCAATTGACATTGTTGTTCTCATATTTTTTTAGCTGCACATTGCAATCTTTCTAATTGTACATAGATAGAGGTTTTATGCACTATACCAAGCAATACATTGATTAAAATCTTATTGATTTTATTAAAGTAGGAAGTGATTTTTATGTTGTTTAGGAAGGAAAGGCTATGTATGTAAACTTAAAAAATAAATTGCACTTTTTGAATGTGCAAAAGTAGTGAGAATGATTTATAAATGTTGACAGTCACATCCTTTTAGAGATTTTTTTTGTCCAACATCGTATTTTTATATGGTTCAGATACGATGTTATTTTTTTTACTACTTTTCTGTCTTTTTATAACAATTATAATTGATGTATTTTTATATAGTGTTGGAATACCAGCAACTTATGGCTTTCCAAATATCACTACTCATAAGATATCTCAACATGCTCATGTTTGTGTGGAAAAGAAGAAAGATAGATTGTTAAAACATTCTATTGGGATGTTGGTAACTTTGATTTTTTGCAGTTTAACCAACAGTGTGCGACAAAGAAAATAAGATCATAGGTTAGTTCATAGATGGAACAAAACTTTGTTTGATATTTTCAAACATGGGTTTGAACCTTACATATTTTGGCAGGAAACAAAAAACAACCTATTGCAATATATTATCAGAGTATCTACATTTGAGAATTATCGACCAACACTACCAATAATCTCCACAGGAACATTTCCCATCTTTGAAATGATGGAATCTCTTGTTGTCCCTCACAATGAGCTCCCTTCCAACAATCTTTGACATAATTTTGATAGCATTGTGACAGTCTCCACATATACGTAGATTCTTGATGATTCTAAGTGTAGTCCTCGGCGGAGTACTGATGAGACCATAAGCAATTGCCAAACGCTCACTGTGATACTGCAATGCCTTCTCTTTTTCCTCCTCGTCAATATCATGCAGAACATATCTTGTATCAGGAACATAACCTGCTTCCCTCATCTGCCCAGTCAAACCTCTGAATTTCATATCACCTTCTTCTTTATAGGGCATATTACACCGATAGTCGGCCACTTTATTTTTCTCCTCCAGCATGTTAATTGCAGACTGCTTCTTTCTCTGAGGTGCAGGTACTTTATTAGCAACAGCTTTTGAAGGATCAAGAACAGTTAACAATTCCTCAGCACGATCTTCAAGCTCCAAGTCTCCATGAATTCTTGCAAAATTTCGAAGAGCCTGCCAAAACTCAACTCCAACTTCAATTGGCGTACTCTCAATGAACTCCACAGCTTCATTCAACTGACCAGCACACCCCAGAAGATTAACAACCCCCAAATAGTGCTCCATGGTTGGAACAGTTCCGTACTCCTTCATGGATGCAAACTGCATTAACCCTTCTTCCACAGCTTCTACCAACGCACATGCAGCCAAAACCGACACAAAAGTTTCCTCATCAGGTGCTAACCCTTGTTGCTTCATCCTCTTAAAAACTAACAAACCATCATTCCCTAAGCCGTTCGCAGTGTACCCACTAATCATCAAATTCCAAGAAGTGATATTTCTCTCAGGCATTTTATCAAACACTCTTCGCGCATCCTTCAAGCTACCACATTTCACATACATCCGAATCAAGCTATTTCCCAATTCAACATCCCCTCCAAATTTCGATCTTCTGATGAAATCATGAACCTTTCTCCCTAATTCAAGCGACTTAGAATCCTCAGATAATTTCAAGAGGGAAATGTAAACAGTATAATCAGCAAAAACAGCTTGACCCATGAGTTCCAAAACTTGATCGAGGTTACCCTCTTGAAGCAAACGCGGCAAGTCTGCATTTTGATGCTGATTGAGGCTTTGGTGATGGTCCAATTTAGGTTGGATGGAAGGGTTGCTGATACGCAAAGGTGGGGTTTTTCTGTGAGTGGAACCATAGTTGTTGGTTCCGTTTCGGAAAGGGTGAACAGTAGCATAGGTGCAGAATGGTGTGGAAGAAGATGAAGATTGGTTTGTGAAGTTTACAGAAGCGATTGACGAATGAAATTTGAGTTCCATGGCCATGCTATACGCTGCTACTTGCCACTATTACCTTTTATTTCTATCCATCCATCTATCCATCAAATACAAAATCACATTAATTTTAAGAGAAAAAGGAACATGCATGAGCTATAAAATAATTTTACACTCAACCAAAAATAAATTTTCGATTGTGTAAAATTATTTTACACTATTAAGGTGCTATTTTTTAACTCTAATTTTAATGCATTTTCAACTAAAACTTGTATATTTTTTTACTACTTTTTTTTAACTATTTTATATAATATTTGTTTTTGAGTTGGACATTGACTTTTTTTTGGCAAAGAGTAAATTAGGATTTGTAACATGGAAATGTGGTATCAGTCTTAAAATCTACTTTTTCAAATTTTTTTAATTGTCGCTTTTGTAAAAATTTTAAAAATAACCATTTAAAAAGAACAGAGAGTATCAAAATTGTAAGTATATTATATGTAATGTTCAATATTCGATTTATTGTCTTCTGTGTTTTTCAAAATATTCAGTTGATTTTATTTTTGTTTATGTAATTTATTCTATTCGTATTTTCACGATTTTTGTCTTATTAGTGGCTGTATTTCCTCGACTTAGTAATCTTTAACTAACGTTATAATCAGCAAAATTTTGCACACTTTAAAGACTAAAATGGTGGTTTGTCCAATAATTTTTTTTAAGTTTACCTTTTAGGATAAAACATAGACATGAAGTTCAATTATCCAATTCTATTGTCTTTTGTCCAAATCTAGAGTCATGTTGACCTCGATAGACTCTAGTAAACTTGAAAAATATTTAGTTGACTTACATTTGACTGCGTTTGCATTCAAGTTTGAGCTTGCCTCGGCTAAGTAACCTTCAACTAACCTTAAAATCATCATGTTGTAAGAATTTATCTCATTTTGCTAGATTCATCTCCATTAGTTAACGATAAATTTTGTCCTAAATTATGTTTATAGTGGAACTAAGGAAGTAAACCATAATATAAGGATGAACAATACAGTTAAGAAACCACCCACAACAATATTGAATTGGCTCAACAAAGAAAATCAGAATCTTCAAAACACTATTGAGTATTTTTTGTCTGCCTATAATCATGTACCTAACTCATTGCTTCAACAAGTAAGCACTTTTACACAAACAAATACATTACTCTTTCAATGTCTATGATACAACAATTGCCAACAATTTCTGTCTAACTGTAAATTTGAAGTACATTTTCTGGTATATGCAATACCGTTTTGTACATTATTCATCCTCACTTATTTCTGATTTATACTAACAGATGCGCGAACTCTCTTCCCTTTATGTTCATGACATCTTTTTCTTCCTTTAACTGGTTCTTTTCTACAAGTTGATCCATCTTCCAAAACAATTCCACATATAACAGTTTTGGTGATACTTTCATCGACAAGACTTTCACTCACTTTTTCTGATTCTGACTTGGATCTTCTTATTTCTTTTGCAGTGAACACATTTTCTGATTCTGATTTGGATCTTCTCATTGCTTTTGTAGTGACCATATTAATTCTCATTCCTTTATGTTCATTACACCTTACTCTTTTTCCAACCGGCATCTTTGAACAAATAGAACCATCGTCCAAAATCACTCCACAAATTTTACCATTTTTCTCAACTGCAAAATCACTTGTATCATGAATCACTACCTTACGTGACCGGTTGAATTTGAACACGCGAGATAAGAAATTGTAGCCGTCATTGTCTGATTTGTTATCTGTCTTAGGCAATTTGCGTGCTTTAATTAGTATCCCTACTTTCTTTTGAGTGAAGGGTACAAGTGATTTGGCCACTTCTGAAAATGTTCTTGTCCCTGAAGAAATTTTGTTGAGCATTTGAAGAATATCAGCAGGCCGGCGCGTACCGTTATTAATTGTGTTCCATGCATAATCAAATGTACTTAGAAGTTGAGATTCTGTTTGCAATGCATCTCCCTTGTTCTGCATCTGTTCAACAAATAATATTGCACAAATAAATGCACTCAATCATCTGTCAAATTTCACAAAAATGCATAACTTCATAAGATTCCTAACAGATCATTATTTAACATTTACAATGTTCCGCTAACACTTAACCGGTTAACATCATCATCATCATCATCACCATCATCATCATCCTAATCGATTATCTACTACATAATCGACTATCCAAAACACTTAATCAATTAACTCACAACTTATTAAAGAATCACTTAACTCATTTTAGTCTTCTAATCCATTAATTTAGCTCTTAGTTCAATCAATGCATATTCAATTGAAACAATCTTGATCATAACAAATTGAAGAAAAATATGCAAATGTATGATGATATGTACTTACAGGAGCCCATCTATAAACAATTGGGAAGCTTTGAAAAAAGATGTCATGAAACAATGAATGTCCCTTTTCTTCGGAAGATTCAAATGTAGAACAACCATTACCCAAATGAGCTCCGTTTCTACCATAACTTTGAAGTCTTGTTCTCACATTATCAGCTTTTCCTAGATAAACCACAACAACGCGAGTTGCAAGCTTGTAAATTTCACGCCCTAAACCACTAGTCGACATAGCTACTCCGAGCTCGTACACTCCCGGACCCGAATTTTGTGGAAGGTTTTGGATTCTGTATCTTGTAGATCCTTCCTTTCCCTTGGAATAATCTTCCCAATCAGAAGGACCAATAAGAATCTGAAAAAATCAGTATATAGCTGTTTAACTTCTTCTAAATCAAAATTGAAAGCTTAAATAAATAAGCTCCACTCCAGAAAAAATGATTAAGCTGAAAAGAAAAACTAACAGTAATAACTAATGGAATCAAGAATTGATCAAACAGTGTAAATAACACGATTCGCAATAGATTTGAAAATTTTTGAAGCATTAAGATAAGCATTAATAGAACATTAAATTGAAATTAAAAGTTTAGAGAAAAATTGAAATGAAGTACCTTCCAATGAGAGAAGCTAGAATCATGTTTAGTGTGCTTACATTCTTCTCTCTTCAACATTTGTGCTGTCGCAGGAAAAGTGATTCTATGGCCGTTGTTTCGTTCTTTCGTTAAATGTTCCATTTAAAGCTTCTAATGTTCGTAATATGTATTTTCATTTTACCAAAACGCCCTTTCATAATATCCATCTAGAGTTAACCTATTCCAACAATATATAATTAAAATAACGTGAGATTTAAGTTACACTTATTAGATTTTATATTTTTATTTTATTCATTTTGAATTGTTGTTTTTGGATTTTAAAATATTTGTCACCGAAGAAATTATCAGGTTGAGTCGCGGGTTAGGTTGTTCTCTTTAAGATGTTTCGCGGCACTGCTCAAAATTATGCAAAGCAGTCGAACTACCGCGCCGCCTCCAGGATAAAACAGTCCAATTCTATATTGTACGATCGATTACTACTTGCATGGTAGATAATCGGTCTAGAAATACACCCTCTGGTGGTACAAGACCATTCAAATATGGTATCATGACCACTCGTAGTATCTGGTACAAAGACCAGTCATAATAATTTCTCAAACAAAAAGAAACTCAAATAATTCTTCAAAGAGAGATTAATAATGGTCATTTGACCACTCATAATAATTTCTCCATCAAAGATAAATTCAAATAATTCTTCAAAGAGAATCCAAAAGATTAAACTTGAAAATTTCTCAACTCAAATAAGGAGAAATTAACATAATTCTCTAAAGAGAATTCAAGAAAATACTCGGAAAATTCAACGAGTAGGAAGAAAGAGGAAGAAGATGGCGCTTCGATAATTCGAGAGACGCGGAGTTATGAGAGTGAGGAAGGAAAAACTAATAGAATAGTTTTTGGTGTAATTTGGAATCAAATATGTACACTCCTTATATAATGAAGTAAGGTAGTTAATATTTCTCACATGAGCAATGTGGGACTAAATGGGTTTTTTCAACCAAAAAGATATTCTAACCATATGGGACTTGAGAAATTTTTAAATTCAACATATTGGAACATGGACATGTTCCAACAATCCCCCACTGAATTTAAAAAATTGATTTTAGAAGTAGCGTCAAACGTTTCTAAGATTGTGCATAAACAAAGGTGTCTACGACTTGAACCTTTGCATAGCAAGTAGGATTCCAATTCAACAAGAGTGACACAAATGTCTTGAACTCTATCTCAGACATCAAACCCGCACACAACCTTTTCTTAAGGTGTATTCTAATAGTCTGTGCTTTAATGACCCTACACGTGTATCCCAGTTTAATGAAGGCTCTAGGAATTATGCCTCAAAATTCCATAGGAACCGGCCTAAGTTACACAATCACATAGGTGAGTCTATTAAGAGTACTCTTGTAGCCTAGGTACTCCCTCATACAGAGTATAGATCTCATTAAGAGTTTCTATCATCTCATCCTCTTATTACTTCATGATTCATGATTTACTTGTATGATCATCTCATATTACTCACAACTTGTTATTACCCATTGAACCTATTTCTTGGGATCTCCAGTCATTTAGGTCGGGTTACCATCATGAGCAACTCATTTTCCTATAGACATTAATCCCATCTTATATGATGTATTATAGACTTTCTCTCTAGCTAATCCTTTCGTTAAAGGATCTGCTAAATTTTCATCAGTGCGTATATGATCCACTCTTACAACACCTTTAGAGATACAATCTCTAACAGTGTTGTGCTTTCTTCTAATTTGACGTCTTTTACCATTATAATAATGGTTCTCTATTTTTGTAATAGTCGCGGTACTATCACAGTGGATCAACACAACTGACATATGTTTTTCCCTTAAGGGAATCTCAGTTAGCAAGCATCTTAACCAACTTGCTTCTTCACTAGCAGTCGCTAATGCTATATTCTCAGGATAGTATGTTTCTTTGATTTCCAAGATACAACTCCTCTATCTATGTTGAATACATAGCCACTAGTTGCTTTGGAATCATCTGATAAGGTATTCCAATCTGCATCATTTTATCCTTCGGGTACAATAGGAAATCTCTGATAATGTAAATCGAGATTCATGGTGGTCCCTTTAAGGTACCGCATGACTCACTCAATAGCTTGTCAATGTTCATTACTCGGTCTACTAATAAACCCGCACAAAAATCCCATGACATATGCAATGTCAGGTTTAGTACAATCAATGGAATACCTAAGACTTCCAATGATGCTTGCATGTTCTGTTTGTCTAACACTTTCACTAGTGTTCTTAAACAGCTTCACGATTAGATCATTTGGTGTGCTCACAGGTTTACTGTCAAAGTAATTATATTTCTTTAAGATCTTTTTCACATATTGTGATTGATCCAAAGAAATTTCTTACTCGGATTTTGTGATCTTGATACCAAGAATCACACTCACTTCTTCGAGGTCTTTCATATCAAAGTTATTGCACAACAATGATTTCATATCATTAATAGCCTGAATGTTTGATCCAAATATGAGTAGATCGTCTACATATAGACATGTGATAGTGCAAATACAATTCTCAAATTTGTAATAAACGTATTTGTCACTTTCATTCACTTTGTACACATTCGATATCATTAAGTTATCAAATTTTACATGTCATTGCTTTGGAGCTTGTTTTAGCCCACACAAGGACTTATCTAACTTACAGACCTTGTTTTCTTATCCATAGATCACAAACCCTTCCGGTTGTTTCATATATATTTCTTCTTCTAAGTCACCATTTAAAAAAGTTGTTTTAACATCTATTTGGTGTACTATTAAGTTATAAATAGCAGCTATTGAAATAAGTACCATAATGGATGTAATTGTGGTGAGAGGATAAAAGGTGTCGAAGAAATCTATATTTTCTCTTTGTCTAAAACCCTTGTCAACAAGGCGAACCTTGTATTTATCAATAGTTCCATAAGGTTTTAGTTTCTTTTTCAAAACCCATTTACAATCGATTGGTTTGCAACCAGGAGACAAGTCTACTAAGTGTCAGGTCTTGTTAGATTCTAGAGACTCTATCTCATCATTGATAGCTTCTTGCCATAAATAAACATCCAGAGATGACAAGGCTTCTTGAAGATTCATTGGATCTTCTTCTACATTATAAGCCGCATAAGAAGGCCTATAGTCTTTAGCAACTCTTACTCATTTACTTCGTCAAAGTTCTGTTTCTACATTGTCGTTGCTTTCTGTGCTTCTTATCACAGGAATATGACTCGATTGTGTGCCCCCACTATTTCTCAATTTGAAAGGAAAGTTGTCTTCATAGAATTCAACATCATTTGATTCTATGATCGCTTTTGGCTTTAGGTCATAAAACCTATTTGCTTTACTGTTTGCTGCATACCGAATGAAAGCACATTCATATGCTCTACTAGCGAGTTTAACTCATTTTGGATTCGGAATTCTGACATAAGTCAAACAACCCCAAGTTCTCAAATAAGACAAGTTTGGTTGTCTTTTCTTTAATATCTCATAAGGAGAGATCTTACATTTTGACTTGGGGACTCTATTCAGGACATAGCAAACAGTCAATAAAATTTCCCCCCACCAGTGAGGTGCAGCACCAGAATTCATCATAATTGCAACAACGAGTTCAATAAGAGTTCTATTATTTCTTTCTGTTTTACCATTCATTGCAAGATAGTATGGTGCAGTTGTTTCATGTACAATTCCATGTATAAAATTCATTAATAAACTAGAATCATACAGTTTATCTATCACTACAAATTCTTATTATATCATTTTGAAATTCTTTACAAAAATTTTAAACATATAAACTTCATTCTTCGTAATGACGTACAAATCTACCCCAATAGACTGGCTAAACCCTATCTTATTTAAAAGAAAACCAGAAACAATATTCTTTTTAATCTTAGGAACATGCATAATGTTCCTTAAGATTAAATTCTTTTTAAAGGTGAAATTTAGCTCCATGTCTACAATTCCAGCAACATCCGTGGTCTGACCATCTCCCAACAACACTTTCTTATCTTTAGTATTCATGTATATTTAAACATAACACGATCATAACAGACACAGCGAGAGACGCAAGTGTCTATCCACCAACCAACATATCCATCAACCATGTTGATTTCAATGACCATAGCAATAAATTGCCAATTAGTTAGGTTGACCTGTGCATTAGGGACAACACCAAGTTCAAGCTTGCTTATACATTTCTTAATCATATGACTTGATTTTCCATAGTTAAAACAAATGGAAACCAACATCATTTCTTTTAGGTGGTAGTTGTTGCCTAGTTGGAGCTATTGGGATCATAGAAGGATTCCCATTCTTGATTCGGTTCACAATATTGCGGTTCTGATTCTTTAATCATTTGCCAAATGAATTTATAACTACACCGAATTTCTTTTTGTTGTTTGAAACAACCAAGACTTTTTCTTTTTGATATTGTCTCTAAGATTCCCTTTTTGTTTTTTTTAAACATTCAAACTATGGGGTAGTTTGTCAATAATAAAACTAATTTGAAATTGTCCATTTAAACATATACCTTCTGTGATGATCTTTTAAGCAATCTTTTGAAGTTCGTAACATTGAGCCTCCATCGACCTTACATCTTTGCATTTGATACTTGAAGTAGCGGCTAACAACATACTTATTTGCTCCAGCTTCTACGTCATACTTCTTTTTATGAGTCTCTCAATCTTGTTTTGCAGTATCACATCAACTGTAATTATCATACAAATCATCTGCGAGTCTATTCAAAATGTGATTTTGTAGAGATTTTCATTCTCTTTCTATAAGGTGATTTCTTTCATATGCTGTAAATCATTCGCTTTAATCTGTGCAGCAGATTCAACTTCAACAATATTAAGTGTTCCTTCTAAATCTCCAGATTTACTACCGTTAGTTTGTTCGATTGATCCATAAGGAGCAACAGAATGTCATCGATCAGAACGTTAGCAACTTTTTTTCAACGTTAAGAACTTCATCTTTTGTTGCCAACGTTTGAAATGACTTCTCTCAAACATGAACGATTTCTCAAAGACAATATCCGCAAAAGAACCAATAATTTCTTCGGTAGCCATGGCAGTTTGAAGCGTCTTAAAATTGTTGTTTTCGGATTTTAAAATATTTGCCACCGAAGAAATTACCA